CGCTCAACAATACAACCCTCTAGGCGACTTTGGTTTTTCACGTGCCCTTTTAATACTTTCATATAACATTCAGCAGGGTACATCCATCTCATATAAGCTGGGTTGCACAACTGTCTCTTTCACAAGATGAACAACTAGATGTACCATTATGTCAAAAAATGAGGGAGGAAAATACATTTCAAGCTCACACAAAGTAATAACAATTTCTTTTTGCAATGTTGGTAAGATCTCAGGATCAATCACCTTACTACAAATTGACCTAAAGAAAAAACACAACTTAGTTATCGCACTCCTTACTTTATCTGGAAAAATAGAACGTATACCTATTGGTAGAAAATGCTCCATTATAACATGGCAATCATGTTTCTTTAAACTCTTTAACTTGAGGTCTTTCATAGACACAAGTCTTCTAATATATGAAGAGTGTCCTTCTGGAACTTTAACTTCACTTAGAAACTTACACAATATCTTTTTCTCCTTTCTAGATAGAGTAAAAGCAGCAGGTGGTAGATATGTTCGACTTCCTTTCTTCACGGGTCCTAGTTCAGCTTGTATTCCCATCTTTAACATGTCCTCCCTTGCTTTAAGGTCATCCTTAGACTTTCCTTTAATATTGAGTAACGTATCAATAACACTTTTAAATACATTTTTTTCAATATGCATAACATCAAGAAAACGTCTCACATACAGAGACTTCCAATATGGCAATTAAAAAAAATTGATCTCTTCTTCCATCCACCTTTGACAACCGTATGCGCAAAAGGCTTGCCAAACTGAGTACACACATCTTTCACCTTTTCAAAAATTTGGTCACCTGACAATGCAGGTGGAGCTTTATGTTGTTCGGTGTCTCCATTGAATGCTTTTCTCCATGCACGGTAGTGATGTTTAGAATGTAAGAATCTATGATGACCGAGAAACACATTCTTCTGACAAAGTTCCAAACGCGTCGTATCGGTTCCATCTTCACAAACAGGACACGCACGTTGACCTTTAATGTTATACCCAGATAGATTCCCGTATGCTGGAAAATCATTAATTGTGCCAAATAACATCGCCCTCAAATTGAAACTTTGTTTCCTATATCCATCATAAACCTCCACCCCGTTCTCCCACAAAATCTTTAAATCTTCGATCAAATATGTCAAGTATACGTCTATGTCATTCCCTGGTTGTTTAGGCCCAAATATTAACATAGATAACATCATGTACTTACACTTCATACATAGCCATGGGGGTAGGTTATAAATCATAAGAATCACATGCCATGTGGTATGTGAGATACTTTGAAGACCATGCGGGTTCATTCCATCAGTAGATAAAGCCAACCGAAGGTTTCTTTCTTCTTCTCCAAAATCAGGATAATCATTATCAATTTTCGACCATTGTGGTGAATCTGCTAGATGTCGATACTTTCCATCAATAATTCTTTCATCTGCATGCCAAGTTAGGTGTCTTGCATCGGTTTCACTACGAAACATTCGCCTAAATCTCGGAATTATAGGAAAATACCATAAGACTTTTGCTGGAGACATTTTTTTCTTATATCGAGACAAGTCGCATTTAGGGCACTCATTTAACGAAGCATATTCGTTTCGAAACAAAACGCAGTCGTTTGGACAAGCATGTATCTTATCATAGCTCATGCCAATAGAGCACAACATTTTTTTGGCCTCATAGGTTCGATTAGGAAGAACATTATCCTCCAGAAGCATATCTCTTATAAGGGCTAATAACTCTGTGAAACTTTTATCTGACCATCCATTGCCCACCTTTAAATTGTACAACTTTAATACCGCAGACAGTCTTGTGAATTTAGTGCACCCTTTATACAACGGTTTCTCTACATCACTTACCAATCTATCAAACATTTTAGGACAATCCTGAAGATCTTCTTCAAGTGCATCTGCAATCTCTTCGACTCGATCAAAATCGTATATATCTGTGTCCTTATCGTCTGAAGCATAGGAAATACTACTTTTCTCCCCCGGTTTAATGTTGTCGTTACTTTTTTCACCGTGAAATATCCAACGCGTATAACTTCTATCAATTCCACGCATTAGTAAATGCAATTTCAATCCATCTGCGTTAACCCGACCCATATAACAACAACCAAAGCAAGGACACTTCATTCGACTGGGGTCTTTGGCGTGTTCAATAGTAAACTTAATGAATTCCAATACCCCATTCTCGTACTCTTGTGACAATCGATTGGCAAACATCCATTTTTTATCCATTTTTTTCTACTTATTCAAGTAAACAAAAACACTATAAACGGATTATTCTCTTTTTGTTTGAATTAAACGAATTATTTCTAGAAATTTATTTCTAGAGTTAATAACATGGACTAAAAATAAATATATCTATATAAAAATAATTGTATTTTTTAATTGATCGATACAGATAGAATTTGAACTTGACTTACCAAAGAAAGAAAAGGGGCTATTGGTGTCGACGGCGGATGATGCGGCTTTGATATTCTTCGAATCTATGATGGTCTTCACCTAACTACATCAATACAAAAGTATCATCAAAAACAAGTTGTATACATATTTAGGTTCAAAATACTAGTAACAAAATACTAGTTTATGGAAAATATAAACATGATAAACAATTCAGAAAACCAATTCAAATAACAAAAAAACCCATCATATATATCATTTTTTATATTCCAAAACATAAAACCAAGAATCCAAAAAATGCTAAAAATGCTAAATGCTAAAAATATTGCTGTTATATATCAAACCCTACCAAGAATCCAAAAATTAAAATGCATACATATAACCCAGTTTAGACATCAATAGGAGATAAACACATTTGGACATCAATGGATATTAACACATTTTCAAGAATGATAACTCATTTGAACATCAATGGAGCTAAACACATTTTCAATAAAGAACATACCTTGAGAACCGGCCGGTGTGGGTGGAGGAAAACAGAGCGAGATGGTGGAGGACGGTACGACGACGAACAGTGGGGGACGATTTGAGATGGATAAGGAAATGAGTTTCGCGAGGGAAAGGGTTTCTGTTTTCGTCTGATAGTGATACTGTGAATACAAATGTTCTATTTTTTTAATTCTGGCTTATAAGGGTTTAGACAGCGCTTTCTAAAAGCGCTGGCTAATATGGACCTTAGACAACGCTTTCTAAAAGCGCTGGCTAATATGGACCTTAGACAACGCTTTTGACAAGCGCTGGCTAATAGTGACCTTTAGCAACGCTTTTCTATTTATTTTTTTTATTTTTTATGACTTTAGACAGCGCTTTCTTAAAATGTTGTCTAAAGTGGCCCATTGCCAATGCTTATGATAAAGCGCTTTCTAAAGCAATCCTTTAGCAGCGCTTTTTAAAAGCACTGTCTAAGGTTATATGTTTAGCAGCGCTTTTACTAAATATTTTATACGTTTTCCTTGTTTTTTTTATTCACTTATAGCAGCGCTTTTGTACAAAAGCGCTGTCTAAGGTGCGCTGTTAAAACTTACTTTTAGCGTAGTGTGGGTTTCGAAGCTGCTGAGTGAAGGAGACGGAGGAGTGAGTAGCGGTCGTCGTGCCCGTGAGTGAAGGAGGCGAATGATCGGTGGAGGAGTGCGTGATCGACTGGCTTGGTCGAAAGAAGATCGATGGAAGCGTGCGTGAGGCGATTGCCGACTGGCCGAAAGAAGATCGATAGACTGATGGAGTCTGTGTGTGAAATTGTGAAGTGAAGTGAAGGAAACCCTAAATTTTTAGGTTTATTGACTTTTATATATATATATATATATATATATATATATATATATATATATATATATATATATATATATATATATATATATATATATATATATATATATATATATATATATATATATATATATATATATATATATATATATATATATATATATATATATATATATATATATTTAGGAGTATTTATGTAATTTAATGTCTAAGCGGGCGTGGTTTCGAATTTTGGGTGCGGGTTTCACACTACCCAATCCCACACCCGAAACCAAACTCAAATCCAGTCAACTCAAGTTTTCACCCGTTGATTCGAGTTCGGATGCGAATGAGGCCCGCAAATTTGAATCTGCATGCCATCTTTATTCGCGAATGACATCATATATATATATATATATATATATATATATATATATATATATATATATATATATATATATATATATATAAACACTTGTATTAAAAATACAAGGGGGTATAATCCAATATAAAGTATGAATAATGTGTGTTGACTGTTTAAAAATCTTATCTAAACAATTGCATGTAAAAAAATAAAATTTGAAATTTTTATTCAACTGTATTAAATTGTGTTTCCCTGAGTCTAATCCATATAATTCATAATTATGTTGTTATTTATGTTATCTTTTTACAACATATCAATGTCGATTTGAAAAAAAATATTTTTATAACGTATCGAATATTAACCTAAATTATGAATTATGTAAAAATGAAGAAAATAAATAAATTGGACAATATAACCTATTCGTGCGGAAGCATGGTTTCTTAACTAGTTCTTAAACAAAATAGGTTCGACATTGATGATGGGTATTTTGATAGTTAGTGCAAACTATGGTAAGACGTGTAGTAATGTTATGGTATGTAGTGTATTATTGGTTTGGTATTTAGCTTATGAAAAATCAAAAAGACTTGAAAAAGAGAAGTTAAGATGAGGAAGGAAATTAAAGCAAAGGTTTTCCATCAATTGAAGTTTACACATAATCCAACCATGCAATATAAGAATATTGAAGCAAGCAACCTCACTTTAATGATCTATTCAAACCAAAAGAGGAATTATTCTTAACCAAAATAAAATTAAAGAATGAAAACCTCATCACAAATTCTTGCCACATAGCCTTTTATTCGTATATGTATAAAAGGATTGAATCACAATTCTCTCATTCATTCAAAGCAATACATATTTTCATAACTTTTGCAATTGAAAAATCTCGAAGTTAAAAGGACAAGAGAAGCCACTTATCATCATCACCTTCAATGGAAACCAAGGCTAATGAAGATATTAGCAAACGTTTGTATGAAGATTTTGAACCTTATTGTAAATGGATCACAAATGAAGGACAAAAGATCCTTGAGGTTGATTTGAAAGGTATAAATCCTTGACTATATACTTTATTTAGTATTTTAATTTCATATACAATTTATATTTAAAAAGAACTTAAATCATGGGCATGAGGAGAATAGAGAGATATATTTTTATTTTTATTTTAAGTTTTTTTTAAATGATAAATTAATATTTTTATTAAACATATTTTTAATATTAATAATATTATTAACAATAAAGATTGAATTTAAAATTTTATTTAATTTTTTTAAATCTCTCTCAAATATAATTTTGAATTTTTTATTTTAAAAAGTAAATGTATTATAAGAAAATAAAAACTCTTTATTTAAGTTGGAGACAAATTTTTTTAAATTATTATACCTAAAGCTCTCCTCTCTCTTCTAAATTCGTAAACAAAGTCAGAGAAATTTTAATCCATTTATCTACTTTGAAAATAACTATTAGAATTTCCCTTTAAAAAAGTAAATAATATGTTAGAACTAATTGATTGAATAATATTGTTTACAATAATTTAAAACTTGGAATTTGGTTTATGTTAGAATAATTGATCGTAAAACTTTAGCATTACCTATACGGCTCAAAAACATTATAAAAAAAAACAGAGATTTCAAATATTTATTTTGTCTAAAGCTCTAAATTTTTAGATAAGATTCTGATTAGAGATCATATTAAGAAAGCCACTAGTTACATTTTAAGGACATCAACCACAAAATCTTACCTAATTTGATATGTATATGACAAAAATGTTTAGAAATTAAAATTGAAAAAAAAAAAAGTATCATTGATTCATTTAACATATAAATAATACTAGTATTATGGTATGATATGTTTTTCTCTTGAATCTATGAAGGTTTCAAAAAAGAGCAACTTAAGGTTCAAACCAACAATAAAGGGGTTCTAAAAATTTATGGAGAAAAACCTCTAAGTGCATCTAGTAAGAAGAAATGGAGTCGTTTCCATAAAGAAATTAGGGTTTCAAAAGATTGTGAAATGAGTGGGATTCAAGCAAAGTTTTCTCAAGGGATTCTTTCTATTGTGTTGCCAAAAAGTGAAGCAACTCAACATGCGAAAGATGTTGCAACCATAGAGAAGCATTCATTATGGGGTGTGCAAAAGAGAAAAAGAACCACCATTCAAATCGTGCTTGGAATAGTGGCTGTGGTTGCACTAGGGACTTATGTGGCAAGAATATTAGGAAATAAACACCATTATGATGCATTTGATAATGTTAATGTTGTGAATATTTAATTTATCATGTCAAAATTGAAAATAAAGCATATATTTGCTTATGGTGATAATGAGAAAGTGAGCAAGGTGAATTTGCTTTATATCTTCTTGTAAGATGCTATCTTTGAAGAAAAGTAAAGTATAAAAATCCTTCATCTAAGTTCTGGTTCGAGTTAATCTCCCTTCCTTCAATTCTTTAATTTGGTTGTCATACAATTCCGAGGAATTGTAAAAAATGATAATAATTGTGCTAATTTAACATTTTTATAATCAATTTTATAAAATAAATAAATAAATGAGAGATATATAAATATATCAACAAATATTAAAATTGATTTTATAAGTAGACCTTTCTAATTTAAGGAAAAGGTGATATCATAACGAATTTTAGTTGAAGATCACATTATCTTTTTAATTTGGTTCGCTAGAAGAAAGAGTGACATGCAAATACTATGGCGTTTAATGACTATAAGTGGAAGGTTTCATGGCTAAGAATAGTGTGTACGTCAATATGAGATCTTTGTTAGGCTTTTAAAATAGGGTTATAGGATTTGAGTCTCTAGAACTTTCTTTTAATAAGACAAATGTTTGAGGATACTCGTTTAAGAGGACAAATGCTTACCAATCACGAGCCCACAAGATCTGACAACTTGTCTTGTCTCGCGAGACAATTAGGATATATGTTCTTTTGGGTCGTTCCTCCATTAAGCCTTATCAAATGTGGTGTCAGTCCAGTCTAAAAATAGAATCCCCATAGCCTTGAACGGTGAAGTCAGGGCATGACTTGTCATTCCAACTTGTTCTTATGCACGCTCCTTGGACTTCATGTTCTTGAATTTGAACTAGTGCATAGATAGTTCCTTTCAGAACTCATCTTTTAATTTCTCTACTTTTCTTTGTTAGAGTGTGGCAGGACTTTAATGGTCTTTGTCGCCATCTTCTTATGTTGTATAGGGCTTATCACTTAAGAGATAATGGATTATGAACACTCGTTTTATAATTACTACATGAGAATCGTAACTTCCATTATGGTAGATTTTGGGTGGTGTAACATTTGATGATTGGGCATTGGCGAATATGCAGTCACGTGAATATCTTGATTGTCGTATGTTGGATCTCCACTCATTTAAACTCTTTGACTCAATTTAAAGTGCGATTATATGTAAACCTCTTCGTTCTCTTATTTTTTACTTTCTTGTTCATATCCATTTTTTCTTTTTATCATCTTCATTCTCTTAAAGCAAATCTTTGTAGTTCTTCAAGGATATCATTATTATTCTACTTGTTATCACTAAGATACAAAAATGGTACCCTACTCGATGGTATACAGAGATTAGGGACCGAGGTGTGTATGATCGAGAAGTTTTTGGGGATAATAGTGGTTGTGGGTTTAGTGGGAAAAAGGATTTTGTGTATTCAAGCGAGTCTGGGGAGTCCCTTGTCTATAATGAGTTAGTTAGGGGAGAAGTTAGTGGTTGTGATGCGGTGGGAGAACTGACTTGAGGTTTTGCGTTTGTGTTCCCAAATGTTGCGGTTAGCAAGAGTCGCCACCGACTTTTCTTTTATCCAAAAGGAAAGGTAAAAAAGCACAGGAAAGACCTTTGAGATGTTTTCTTGAGTTCGGGGGGTAGATTATAAAAAGGGAAGGTGCTAGCACCCTTTTCATCCATGGTTTTCCATGGGCTCTTAGTTACTTGTTTAGATCACTTGCTTTGTTTTGTTTGAAATGGTGTTTGGTGTGATTTTGAAAGTATTTTATAAAAGAGGTCATTGTTTAGGCAATCTTTATAATGATTCTCGTTCGTAAGAATGTATACAAAGATGTTTGTCTTTTGAAAATGTTTTCAATGTTTTGTAAGATGTTTTTGAAATGTGTGAGTGTTTGTTTTTGAAAATAGCAAGGATTGTTTTGAAATGGAACAAGTAACTAGAAGCTAATCTACCTACTCAAATGTCTTTCTTGTGCATTTTTATTCCTTTGACATTCTTGATTTACCATTGATTTGGTAAACAACCCTATCTTTGGATGTAAACGGGACAGACGTGGGTCATCGTATGACCATGATAGCAATGTTGCCAAGTATCTTAGCATTTTTGAGGGACCAAGATCATTTTGTTTTAGGCAACCTTTGAATAGCGTCATCGAGGGAATATGATCTTATAATTGTTTTGTTTTGCCAAGATACTTCGCATGTATAACATGGCCATTTTATTTTAGGCAACCAAGTGGGAGAAACCCTAAGGGTGCTTGTGTGCAAAGTGTGTCATTTTCATGCTTTTGTCTTGCATTTAGGGTTTTCTATTTTGCTTTTGTTTTTTGTTCTTGTCATGCAAACCCTAATTACTAAGCATAGTATATAAAGCAATAAATTGCGTAAAATAAACTAAGCTATTACAACAATTATTATGGGAGGGGGGATACAAGTTTTGAATGGGGATTTTGCACAAATATAAACCTAAAAATATTATTACAACCCAATCGAATATTGCGCGAATTAAATAAATATACAAATATTTAAAATGCAATGCAATGTATTTATGTAAAAAATGTTTTGGTATTTGTTTTTTGTATGAGTAAATAATTTAATTTAAAACCTAAAAAATAATGAAAAAAATAATATTATTTTTGGAGGGGTGAAACCCTAATTTTTTAATTAAAAGAAAATAATGCTTTATGTTATTATTTTGTCCATTTTTTGTACAAGAAAATAATAAATAATATTATATGCAAATATTAAAAATTAAATATGTATAAAAATAAGTATGTATGAGTATAAATAGTATAATAAAAATATTAAGTATTTTTAAATATATTTATAAGTTATTTAAGAAAATAAAATCTATTTATCATAATAAACTATTTTTTTATGCAAAAAATAATAATAAAAAAAATTGCAAAAAATAAAAAAATTATTTTTTAGGATTTTTTATTGTTCAGAAAAAATAATCAAAAGCAATAAATATGAAAATATGAAGAAAAAAATATGAAAATATAACAAATAAGCCAGGGGGTGCAAATAGTAAGTCAGGGGGGTGTGAATATCAGAAACAAAAAGGCCTAAAAGCACCAAAAATCCCAGGCACTTCATCCCTGTCCTCTGGCCAGCCTTACGCACGCGTTTTCCTTCAAACCTGTAACTCTCACATACTTGCACAAAAACAAAAACTCATAACATGAAACTTATGGCATTTGAGCTCACGATTCCAACAATATAAATTTTGTAACCTAACTCTAAAAGATCAGAGAGAATTTTGGCAGCTCTAATTCGTGACCTAAATTTTTCAGCATTTTCAATCTTCAAATTCTCTCAGCATAGTTAATAAAAATGAAAAGTATGCATATGTACAGCTTTGTTATGATAAAGACTACATTTTTTCTTCACAAATCGTGGCTTGAGGATGCCTATTCAGAGAGATAGAGTTTAAGAAATATACCTCCTTCAGCTGGATTCGAGTAGAGAAATGCAGGGACTTTAATGGAGGCCTGAGGATTGTTTGAGCTTCCTTGAACTTCCCTGAAGCTATTCCAATGCTTACTTTGCTTTGAGGATAGATGGAAATCTCTGCACAAGTCAAGCTGCAAGCTTCAAGGTTGAAAATGGAAAATGCTGAAACAGGGGTTACATAACCAGGGTGATGGCTTGGATTGCTTTGGTATGATGTGTACTAGGTGTTTCAAGTGTCTAAACACAAAACGCACGAGCCAAAAGAGTGTTGGCTATGGTTTTGCAGATTCTGAGTTTTTGGACAGTATTTGTGTGTTTTTGAGTTTTGGAGAGTTTCAGCTTCAATCCAATCGTGCTATGCATTGTGACAAGTTGGTATATTTGTATAGAAGGGATACAAAGTCATCCCTCACTAGCTGTGCAAGTTCTAATATATTTTGCAACCTTTCTTGCTTTTTAAGTAAAGTGAAGTGACCAATCCCACATGCTTGTACTAGTTAGTTTTAGGGCTGATAAGAGTTGGTATACATTGCTTGAGAGTTGTGTAGATTGCCTGTATCAAAGGGACGGGTCCAAGGCTCAAGATTGACAAAGTTGCAAAAGCTTCTCTTTATGAAAATGGCAATGTGAACTTTATGCCTAAAATGGAAATACACCTTGTACAAAGCTTCAAAAGAAAAAATAAAGCCTTTGTCAACTGAGTTTGCATTTAATTATGGATTGTATGGCAAGCTTAGGACTTGTAAAGCAAGATACAACCAGCCTAGGTTGGATTTGTAACTTGATCTTATGTGAAAATGGCTTGAACAAAAGTGATAAAATGCCAACTTCCTTTCTTCGATTCTCCCTACTCAAAAATGATCTTGGAGAGTTCTTGGACATTTTGGAAAGCTTGCAATGTGCTCTATAAACCATATTTGAAATGAAATTTGATATACCTCTTTTAACTAGGTGAAAAATGTCCATGAAGTTGGGTCAAAAACCTGCCTAAATTAGGGCAAAATTTCACTAAGTTATTTAGTTCATGGACCTATATTCACAAATTTATATCTTGAGATCCAAGCATCTTTTGGGAAAAGTTTGTGAAGAAAAGTTGTAGATTTCATGGAGGACTACAACTTTCATGTTGTAAGCTTTCTTTTAATCAAAATGCATCATGGTGAAAAAGTGGTGAAAAGTTGAGAAAAAATAAGAAAATTTCCATACTTAGAAAAATTCTAAGTTATGAAAATTTTCAAATTCAAAACCCTAATTTTCAAAATTGGTTTTCTTGGTGAACAAGTTTCATATTTTGACATATCTTGATGAATTATGACCCTTGGCACTTGATTTTGACCAAAAAGTCAAAGTTTGACTTTTCAGTGCACAGTTGACTTTTGATCAGTTGACTGCAAAATTCATCTGTCAATCCAATGAACTTGAGATCTTTTGAACCATGTAATTAGGTCAAGATGATGCCATTGAACCCTTGAAATCATGTTTGAACTCAATTGTTCATTGGTTAGGTTAAAAATCATAAATTGCCCTCTCTCAGTCAAAAACCCTAATTTTGACCATTTTGCCCTTTTGATGATT